TTTTATCTGTTACTGTGTAAATGAGTTTGGCTGTAATTTAAGGACAGATTCTAATATATCTGCAGAGTGGAGACTATAAATCTGATAGGAGTTTAATTTTTTTATTGTTGTTTTGCACAATATGCTTAACTAAGTATTTTTTTTTTTGATGAATATTAGAGATTTTGCAGATATATTTTGTAGATACATTGTTTAGATTTACTTATATCTCTCTACCCCTTTTATAGAATAGAATAGAAAATCCCTTTATTGTCCCACAATGGGCAGATTTACAGCAGCAGAAAGATTATTGAAAATGGTCACACAAATGTAGACCTTAGAAAAATGTATAAGAATAACATAATAGGGAAGAGTTAAAATATAAAAAATACAATTCTGTAAAGTGTTTTAACAATATAAAACTGGAGAATAAATAACCAATATGCAGCTAGGGACATTTTTACAGTAATGGATTTTTTAAAATAGCAGCAACATCAGAGATGTGCAGAATGACAGCAGCAGGTTATTTAACTGACTAAGGTTTATATCACTACATTTGATTTGATTTGTTCCTGCTCCCGGTGGTTGGAACCTTTATTCCACTCTGGATTCTTGTGAGTGTAGTCTTTGTTCACTTTAACTTTTAAAAAAATAAAAAAATAAACAGTTTTGAAAACCTTGGTATTCATTCTTTTCCTGCTTTGTGTGTCAACTTTCACGGTTGCTAAGCAACAGAGCATACGGCGGTAAAACCCGCCGACGGGTATACCTGTTCGAATTTACAGCCAAAACTCTTCCGGCCTCCTTATTTTCAAAGACTTCGAAGGATCCAGTCGAGGTAGACCGCGTCGTTGGAGGATGCAGCCCAGGTTTCCGAACAGAGCAAGAGCCTCTGATTAAGAACAGGGCTGCCCGCACTGACGCGGCTCAGGGATTACGTCACACGGAGCGTCGTGCGCAGTGAAATCAGGACATTTCCTCACTTTCTAAAAAAAACCCGGGACGCCCGGGACAGGACGTGAAATACGGATATGTCCCGGGAAATACGGACGTTTGGTCACCCTATGTAATATGTACAGACTCAATGGCTACGCTAAATAGTCTTCTAAGTGGAAAATCTGAAACTAGGCAAGATTTAATATTTGAAGTATTGCAAAGTCTATTTAGAATAAGGCAGTTAAAAATACTAGTATACTTTCTCTGGGTGCCAGCACATGTGGGTGTAGATGGAAATGAGAGAGCGGACAAGCTAGCAAAGAAAACATTAAATCATCAGCAAATAGAAATGAATGTATTTTTAAGTAAATCAGAAATGAAAACATTGATTACAATTGAAACTCGAAAGAAATGGCAAACGATATGGAATAATGAGTCAAAAGGAAGACATTTGTATCAGATTCAAAGGTTTATTGGAAAGGAGAGGAAAATATATGGAAATAGGAAATAAGATATAATTATTTCAAGGCTAAGAATAGGTCACACAGCATTAAACTACAGTCTTTTTCAAATAGGGAAACATGAAACAGGAAATTGTGACAAATGCGGAGATCCAGAAACAGTACAACATATTATTTTTGAGTGTACTGCGTATGTAAGGGAGAGAATGAAGTTCATACAAGAGTTGAGAAAAACAGGGATTAATGGGAATTCAATAAAAGCATTGTTAGGAAACGAGATAAGACAAACAAGAGTTAATGAAATATTATTCAAATATCTAAAAGATACAGGAACAATTAATAGGATTTAGTTATAGGATTCTTTTTTTTTTTTGGGGGTATAGCGCAATCTTCCAAAATTGTGCACTCCACACTCCAGATCAGTAGGTGACGGAAATGCACCTTTTACGTTGGCCTGCCAATCCGCCATAAAACAACAGAAGAAGAAGAAGAAGAAGAAGAAGGATGTATGCTTTGCTTTGTGCAGGCGGTCTGGAGCGGAGTATGTGGGATTTCGGGGTAAAACTCCTCTTGGACGTGATGGCGACTCTGCATCGAACAAGACAAACTCAAAGAAGAGAAGCTAGCGGTAAATATATGTTCGATTACTGCCTGCTAAGCTTGCAAGGCTACTTTTAGCCGTAGCTTTAGGCTAGGCTGTTATTAGCCGTAGCTTTAGGCTAGGCTGCTATTAGCCGTAGCTTAGGCTAGGCTGCTTTTAGAACAAGCTTTATTAAAGTGCATTTTTTTGTGATTCACAGGAAGCAGAACGCCGTCTTCACAACTCGGAGACTAATTGCAGGCGCTATGAACCGGAGCAAGGGTAAGATTTAAAGAATATGCTTTCATTCTGCGGTAAAAGGAAATGGATACCGATCATAGCTGTACATTTTGTTTTCACAGACTACTGTCGCCTCACAATGAGGCGGTGACCTATTTGCTCGGAGCCATATCAGCAAGTCCAGATTTGCACGATGTTGATAAAGATGACGTTGTGTGTAAGTGACTTTTTTTAATGTTTTCTCCTTCCTTGTTACTGTGACTTGCGTTTAATTTTTTATTCATACCACTCTCATTTAATTGTTTTCCAGCTGCCTGTAAGACGTATTTTCAGACGGTACGCAGGAGCTTCAGATATACGCAGCCAGCCAACACATTGAGTGCGGAGGCTGCCAAGCAATCTGCTCGGAGTCGGGCTAGAAGAAAGAGGGTAAGACTTTATTTGGTGACTATTTTTCAGGTGCATTAATAGATGTGTTGTGTCCATACGCAGTGCGCTGATTCATTGTTTTTTTTTTCAGCTGCTGAAAGCGAGGCAGAGTGTGCTAGCAGATGAGGAAGTGGAACTCTGGAAGTCCGCCGCCGTCGACCTCATGTCCGACGAAGAAGATGGTGTCGTCGGCGGTGTCTCTGGATGGATTGTACAGTCGCCGCCATTTCGTAGGCCGGATCTCACTGAACTCTGTGTTAAGCTGCAGTCCCGGTTAGAAGCGATGCCGAAGTACAGGGCCACGTACAGTAGGCGTCTGCACATCGGACCTGCCTCGGAGGGAATGCTGCCAGTTACCTCCAACCCCGAGGAAGCAAACGGACCGTTCACGGAGTTTTAATTTTTAGATACGCATGTGTTTGGATACGCGTTGTATATAGTTGTGTGTGTGTTTTAATAAAGCTCTTTCTTTGCATAAACAGCTTCCTGGCAAATGTTCATTTCCTGTATAAATTCATTCATGTCCTTGATGGTAGCCTAATAATTGTGTAGTAGTGTAGGATTACATAAATACACAGCATATGAATGAATAAATATATGAATAAATAAATATATATTCATAAATATATATATATGTAAATTTATATGTAAATATATATATATGCCAACCAATCACGAGCGACTTTACTTGTTTAAAAAGAAATGGTTCCGTCCAATACTCAGTAAGAAAATTAAAGCCTGGCGTGGCCACGTGTGGTTTTGCTGCCAATCACGAGTGATTTCACTTGTTTGAGAATAGTGGTTTCAGCCAATACTGAGTAGGTTATTCAAGCCAGACCTGGCCAGCCGCGCGGGTTTGCTGCATTCATATGCTAATTAGGGCCATTAGTACAGCTGATCGCTCTCCACATACGTCAGAGTCCGTTTCTGACAATTTGTGGCATGACAAACGCGGACAAGCGCGGGTTGCAAATTGTCGGAAACTGACAAAAATCAGGGAGATCAGCGGGAGTTTACGGGAGTTTACGGGGACGAAAATCTCACTTTTCATGCAGTGTCCCTGCCAGAGTGTTTGCCAGTAATGGTTAACAAACCCGAGCCAGCCTGCCTGATCTGTAACCCTGATTTTTGAGAACCTGTCTGATCCTGTTTCTCTCTCCCTCACAGATCCTGACTTTCCTGAAACCTGAAATCCTGGAGAGGGAAATCTTTGTCTGGAATCTGCCTGCTTGCACTTGGTCTCAGTCTCTGCCTCAGCCCTCAGCCCTCTGCCTGCCGACTCATAAGGTTCCCCCCCTGCTGATCAGATCCATCTCTGAGCAGGTATTTTACCTTGTCATCTGTAAACTGCTAGTTTTTTTCTGGATCAACTCTAACTGCTCTGTCCTCCTCAGTGGTGTTCCTCCCGTGACCAGTATGAAGAACCCAGAACCAGTGCATCATTTTACCTGTGAACATTGTTCAATAAATCATTTAACTTTTTCCCTGTTTACGAGTGTTTTTCTGCATGTGGGTTAGACGCCTTGAACCCAACATGACAAAATAACTATATCCCATTGTGCTTAACAGTGACCGCAGTTTGTGGTTTTCATTTTTAGACACCAACATATAGTGTATTTAATTAAAGACAGATTTAAGATTAATGAAGTGGGTTTACAAATGCCACCAAATATAAATGATTTTCTAAACATTAACTTTACAACATTACTGTCCAAAATATCAAGGAAATTGTCAAAAATAGATGAATCAATATCCTTTCCCATTAAACAAATGGGAGATTGATCTATCAGTTTGCTTTGTTTGAAATTGTTGGTCTCAGATTTGCTTGATAATATTTAATATCAAGGGAAATCCTAACTTAGAACTAATTCAAAATAATTATTTCACAGAGTACTCTACACAGGGTATTATATGTTCAAGACGAGTTTTATACAGTGTGATATCTGCCTACAATGCTCAATTATTACACCAGGTAACTATATCCATGCACACCATTACAAAGCTTTTTGTGTCTTGTATGAAAGGAACTGTCAAACTCTCTGACATGTAATATTTCACCCTACCCTTTAGTTTGTTTATTGGGTAATGTGATGTAAATTTTAATCCATGTTAACATTACCCCAGTTGAGATGTTTTGTATTATACATATTTTGTTCACAGAGGAAGTGTATTTGATGCTTTATCCGTTTTTAAATCTTTCTCTTGTGTCTAAAGAATTGGATTCAGAAAAGATTTAAAATCTAGCTTTTCACCAAGGTCCCTAATATCCCTAATTTTTTTATGGCCTTAGGCGTAGCTCAGGTTGTGCAAGTTAATAGTCACTGTTATTTAATTTTAGGTTGTGAGAGCAAAACCCAAATTCTGTAGGTACTTACAGAGCTTTGTTTGAAGCTTTGACCACTGGCAGCAGCCTGAGAAGAGCCTCCTCTGAAGCAGAGTATTTCTTCAGGTCAAACACATCCAGATCTTCTCCTGATGTCATTAAGATAAAGGCCAGAGCTGACCACTGAGCAGGAGACAGTTTATCTGTGGAGAGACTTCCTGATTTCAGAGACTGTTGGATCTCCTGGACGAGAGAATGATCGTTCAGTTCATTCAGGCAGTGGAACAGGTTGATGCTTTTCTCTGCAGACAGATTATCTTTGATCTTCTCCTTGATGTACTGAACTGTTTCTTGATAGGTCAGTGAGCTATTTTCTATCTTTGTTATCAGACCTTGTAGGAGAGTCTGGTTGGTCTGCAGGGAAAGACCCAGGAGGAAGCGGAGGAACAAGTCCAGGTGTCCATTTGGACTCTGTAAGGCCTTATCCACAGCACTCTGATGGAGACTTTTTAGTTTTACAATCTTAGATAATTTAGACCAAACAGAAATATTATTTTGTTCTTCCAAAAGATTGACTCCATCCTTGATGAAGCTCAGATGGACATGAAGAGCAGCCAGGAACTCCTGAACACTCAGATGTACGAAGCAGAACACCTTGTTCTGGTTCTGGTACAGCCCTCTCTCCTCTCTAAAGATCTGTGTGAACACTCCTGAGTAAACTGAGGCTGCTGTGATATCAATGCCACACTCTGTCAGGTCTGATTCATAGAAGATCAGGTTTCCTTTCTGCAGTTGATCAAAAGCCAGTTTTCCCAGAGACTTAATCATCTTCCTGCTCTCTGGACTCCAGTGTGGATCTGTCTCAGTTCCTCCATCATACTTGACCTTCTTCACTTTGGTTTGAACAACCAGGAAGTGGATGTACATCTCTGTCAGGGTGCTGGGCAGCTCTCCTCCCTCTCTGGTCTCCAACACAGCCTCCAGAACCGTAGCAGTGATCCAGCAAAAGACTGGAACGTGGCACATTATCTGGATGCTTCTAGATCTATTGATGTGGGAGATGATCCTGCTGGCCTGCTTCTCATCTCTGAATCTCTTCCTGAAGTACTCCTTCTTCTGTGGGTCATTGAACCCTCTGACCTCTGTCACCATGCCAACACACTCAGGAGGGATCTGATTGGCTGCTGCAGGTCGTGTGGTTATCCAGAGGAGAGCAGAGGGAAGCAGTTCCCCCCTGATGAGGTTTGTCAGCAGAACATCCACTGAGGTAGACTCGGTAACATCAGTCAGGATCTCCGTATTGTAGAAGTCCAGAGGAAGTCGACTCTCATCCAGACCATCAAAGATGAACAGAACCTGGAAGTGATCAAAGCTGCAGATTCCTTTGGTTTCAGTAAAGAAGTGATGAACTAGTTCCACCAAGCTGAACTTTTTCTCTTTCAGCACATTCAGCTCTCTGAAGGTGAATGGAAATATGAACTGGATGTTCTGGTGGGCTTTGCCTTCAGCCCAGTCCAGAGTGAACTTCTGTGTTAAGACTGTTTTCCCAATGCCAGCCACTCCCTTTGTCATCACTGTTCTGATTGGTTGATCTCTTCCAGGTGGGACTTTAAAGATGTCTTCCTGTCTGATTGTTGTTTCTGGTCTGTGTGGTTTCCTGGACGCTGTTTCAATCTGTCTGACCTCATGTTGATCATTGACCCCCCCAGTCCCTCCCTCTGTAATATAGAGCTCTGTGTAGATCTGGTTCAGAAGGGTTGGACTTCCTGCTTTAGCGATCCCTTCAAACACAGACTGGAACCTCTTCTTCAGACTGGATTTAAGGTTATGTTGACAAAGTGAATCAAAAAGCTCTAAAAGAAGAAAAAGTAATATTAGCACTGAAACAATCCCAAACAATAGATTTTATGTTTCCTGAACTTCTGATTGGGTAAACAACTCATTTGTGATGCAGGTTAAAAAAGAAAAATCAGCATACTGATGTTCAGATGTTCAGCCAGCTCCTCCTGCTTCATCCGCCTCAGGAAGTTCAGGGTGATCCTCACCAAAGCTTCTCTGCTGCTTGTTTGCTCTTTAATCTCTCCTTCCAACACCTCCTCAACCTCCCATGTACTCTTTGATCCCTCCGAGCCATTCAGACTTAGAAACTTCTGGATCTTCTTCAACTCATTTTTGACAAAACTAACAATGTTTTCCTCCAGCAGCTGGAACAGAATAATAAATAAAGGACACATCAGACTGAGATCATGGAGCCACACATCAGATCCATGTTGGACAGAACTACAGTTTTCTGCTCTACAAAGTGCAGCATTGAGATGACTGTGAACAGGACCCATAAACAAGTAGTTGTAGTACATGTACTGACCATAAATATTGAGTCCAGCTGGGTTTGATGCTGCTGGGCAGATGGACCACTGGCAACCACTGAGTTCTGCTGGTCGACTCTGTGAAGGAACCAGGAAGGAGTAACTCACATTCTGTAGAACAACAAACAGACAAAGACCTAGGTCCTTGCAGTGTCCTGCTTTCTCCAATCACAAACTGTACAGAGCGAGGAAGTTCCTACTTGATCAGAGGTTGAGTTTTTGATTATAAGAATTACTTCAAACAATTTTGTTTTATTTTATTAAATTCTATATGGTTGATTTATTACTACATAAAACACTAACAAATATTAAGACCAACTGTGATAAAACATAAAATCATGAACTTTTAGTTATTTTTTTCTTTTTCATTTAAAATGTCTCTAAATGCTTAATTTTCATTAAACTGTACAGCTTCAGCTCCTATTATAGTTTGTAACAGAAAGGACTTTTTGGCAACCTATCCAATCCGTATATCTATTGACTTGTATTTGTAGCTATTGTCTTCTGCTTCATTTTTGTTGCAGGATTCTCAGCTGAGACTGAGACTAAGAGAGTGCCTAGCCACCCTCCTCATCTGTAAAGCTCATTTGAGCTGTTTCAATCAGGGGTTGTCCTTTCGGTCCTGATGCCGATTTAATGACCAAGGAGTAGGGTAGGAATTTAGACCAAGCTATACATCGACAGCTTTTACTAACTCAGCTCTCTCTTCACCACAACATAAAGATATGAGCTGTAGCAGCAGCTGCATCCTAAATACTCCTTGATTTGACGCATGAATACTCCTCTAACCTGAAGTGGAAAAGCCACCTTTTGTTTGGACAAAAACCATGGTGTTGAACTGAGAGGAGCTGATTCTCTTTTCTGCTGCTTCACACTCCATGCAAACTATGAACATTAAGAGGGGATCAACAGCTCTCTTCTTCACTGCAGCACCGGGAGCATGGTTTTGATGCCTGAGCAGTCCCATGAAACAATATTTACTTAAACAATAATTTTTAAAGTCAGAGTAGTACTGTTTCTGCTGTGCTGCAGGAATGAAAAAAAAAAAAGAAAATCACCAGGCCAATAATTCAGAACCATTGTAGTAAAACAGTGGTCGTAATTTGATTTTACTACTCCATAAAATAAAATCAAAAGGTAAAATCTCAACTGAATTCCACACAATCATCTGACCTATAAGACTGGGGTTTGGTGCAGCAGGTGGAAGCAAAGAGATGACTAAGAGCGAGGGCAGCATCTAAATATGTTTGTTCTATCATGTCATTTTGTTTCTGTTTAAGTTCTGTCTTTGAGTTTTCATTGGTTTTATTTCCATTTTGTTTTATTTTCTATTTATTTTGATTTTATTTGAGTTTTTCGGTATTTCTTGTTTGCCCTCTGGTGCCCTCTTGTTTCAGTCTCCTTTTCCCTAGCTCTTTTCTAGACACCTCTGTTCACACCAGCTCCCAATCTGCTAATTAGCCTGGTAACTGTTGCTGGTTTGTCATCATTTCATCCCCGTCAAGTGAGTTTTCCTGTTTTTTCAGTATTTTTGTGGATTCTAAGGATTCATGTTTTTGGATTTTTGCTTCTGTTTCCCTTTTTGGTTTATTGAACCTACATGTAACAAGCTTCTGCTTCAGTGTCCGCATTTGAGCGCTCTCAAAACTCCACCGTGACATGTTCTAGTTTTAGACAACTAAGCTGCCCTTTTGGATCTCTCAATAACAGAAGCAAAATAAAGGTATTGGTGCTGCTTTTCAACTGACCTTACTAAACAGCAGGATAAATTAGCTGCTAGTCTGTCATTACAATGTGTGAGCATTTACTTCTCCAAAAAGAATTTGAAAATAAAAAAGAATTGAAAGTATATTCAAATAGATTTAGAGTCTGTGTTAATTCTAGCTGTTTGTTTTTGTTTGACAACAAAAACATGAAAAAAATCCAAATACTGTCATTGTCACAGTGGGGTGGAGGTTTGAACGAGGACCCAAATGCAGGCTGAAGCTGAAGGATGTTACTTGCAGATTTTTTATCCAAACGAGTTCAACAGAAGCGAAAATACAAAAAGATGAATCCACAAAAATCGAAAACTACTGAAAACCTGGAATACTCACAAAAAGGGGGTAAAGAAATCACGACAAACCAGCAAAGAGAGACTGAACAGGAAGATACACAAGATGATACAGGAAGATACAGGAGAGAAACAAAGACCAGGCTAATTTGCAGATTAGGAGCAGGTGTGAACAGGGGCAAGAAGGACGCTAGAGAAAAGAAGATACAAGAGGGCTAACAAGAAATATATAAGAACTCAAATAAAACCAAAAATAAGTAGAACACAAAAATGGAAATAAGACCAATGAAAGCTCAGAAATAAAACTTGAACAGAACCAAAACCATGACAGTACCACCCACCCATCCTGTTTGGATTAACTGAGTGTGGAGCTGTTGCAGCTGTCCAAAGGAACTCCATCTGAAGTTAAGTTATTTTCTCTGTGATATCTCTGTATCTAAGTAACTCTAACTGACTACTTTAAAACATAGCACCTTCTGCTGCACTTTTCTACTGAGCACTTGTCAGTTTCCCACGGTTTTATTTCTGATAGCAAGGAGTAGCTAGCCTAGGCTAGCGCTAGCTTAGCATTGCTATGGCTTCTCTCTCTCCCTCCCTTGACTCTTTTCCAACTCTTCCTTCTTCCTCTCCTCTCTCCTGCTCTCTGTGTCAGATGTTCAGTTATTCCTCTGCCTCCTTTAGTGCTAATGGGATGTGTAATAAGTGTAGTATTTTTGTAGCTTTGGAGGCGAGGGTGTCAGAGTTAGAATCCAGGCTTCAGGCTGTTGAACATCCAGGAGTTAAAGTAGGCCCCCCAAGTAGCTGTCCTCCAAAAGTGCCTGAGCAGCCAGGCGATTGGGTAACTGTACGCAGAAAGCGTAGTCGTGGATCTCTGCCCACTGGTCACCACCAACCCGTTCACGTTTCTAACCGGTTTTCCCCACTCAGTGACACACCCACTGAGAAGCCCACTCTGGTGATTGGCAGATGTCAAATGTTTGCCGGGGGCCAGAACGGGCGACATCAAATCCTACCTGAAACTACTGGCTAAGTATAAGGTTAAATACAGTAAGATTGTTATTCACGCTGGTGGTAATGACACCCGGTTAAGCCGATAGGAGGTCATTAAAATTAGTGTTGCTTCAGTGTGTAAGTTTGCCAAAAAAATGTCGGACTCCGTAATTTTCTCTTGTCCCCTCCCTGATCTGACCAGTGATGACATGTTTAGCCGCATGTCGTCATTCAACCGCTGGTTGTCTAGGTGGTGTCCTGAAAACAACATGGGCTACATTAATAATTGGCAATCCTTTTGGGGAAAGCCTGGTCTGATTCGGAGAGACAGCATCCATCCCACTTTGGATGGTGCAGCTCTTCTTTCTAGGAATCTGGCCACATTTATTAGTCTTCCAAAACCCTGACCACCCAGGGTGCAGACCAGGAAGCAGAGTTGTAGTTTAACACACATCTCTGCAGCTTCTCTACTGTTACCCACTCTTTACTCCATCCAGACAGTGTCTTGCCCACGACCAAAATCTAATAAATTAGCAAAGATTCCCAAAGGAGTAAATCATGATAATCTAATTAAAATCAAAATAACTTCAATTGGGGAAAAAGTTAAAACAATTAAATGCGGTGTGTTTAACATAAGCTTGCTTTCCTCTAAAAGTCTGCTAGTTAATGATTTGATTTGTGATAATCACATTGACTTGTTTTGCCTTACAGAAACCTGGCTGCAGCAAGAGGATTATGTGAGCATAAATGAGGCAACTCCTTCAAGCTATTTAAATTTTCACATACCCAGAAGTTCTGGGCAAGGAGGAGGAGTAGCAACAATCTTCCAGTCTGACTTACTGATTACTCCCAAAACAGTTAATACCTACAACTTTTTTGAACATTTAACCCTTAATTTCCCTGATCCAAATTTCAAGGCAAGAAAACCTCTTCTTTTTGTAACTTTGTATCATCCACCAGGTCCTTACTCTGAATTTTTAGATGAGTTTTCAGAGTTCCTTTCTGATTTGGTATTAAATACTGACAGGGTCATCATAGTGGGAGATTTTAACATCCATGCTGAAACTGAAGGCGATAGCTTAAGAGCAGCCTTTAATGCTATCTTAGACACTATTGGCTTTGTTCAAAATGTGAATAGTCCCACACATTCTCATCTTCATACTTTGGGTCTTGTGCTGACATACGGCATAGAATGTGAAGAAATAACAGTATTTCCTCACAACCCTGTCCTCTCTGACCACTTTCTAATAACCTTCAGGATTACTTTAACAGAGTTCTCCTCCCCCAAAAGAAGGTTCAATTTTAGTAGATATTTATCAGATAGTGCAGTTATAAATTTTAAAGAATCTGCTTCACTTTCTCTCTCCTCTGTGTCACTGTGCAGTGCTGCAGAGTGCAAAAGCATAGCTTATTCCCCTTCACAGGTTGATGATTTTGTTGATGGGGTTGCTAGTTCTCTGCGTACTGCCTTAGACAACACAGCTCCTTTGAAAATGAAAACCGTTAAAAATAGAAAGCTTGCTCCTTGGTTTAATGCAGAGCTGCGTACTTTGAAGCAAAATGCTAGGAAACTGGAGAGAAAATATCGCTCCACAGGCCTGCGGGAGTCCTTCCAAGTCTGGAAAAATTGTTTACTGCGGTATAAGAGGACCCTTTGTAAAGCAAGAGCAGCATACTTCTCCTCATTAATAGAGGAGAATAAGAATAATCCTAGATTTCTTTTTAATATAGTTGCCAAACTCACCCAGAGCCATAGCTCTGTTGAACCGTCCATTCCACCTGCTCTTAGCAGCAATGATTTTATGGGATTCTTTATAAATAAGATTGATCTTATTAAAAATAAGATCATAAGCACTCCTCTATCCGCGATTGTACCTGAGGTAGTCATGGAATCTGAACCGGGTTTAGACTGCTTTGATCCAGTTGAACTTTCTGAATTAGCAAAATTATTGTCTTCATCTAAGTCTTCAACTTGTATGTTAGATCCAGTTCCAACCAGGTTATTTAAGGAGGTATTCCCTTTGATCTCCTCCTC